ATAGAAATGGTCCAGAGATTCTGCTGGATCTTCGTTCAACGTGCAATGTGGTAGGAAGCTCTAAGAAGAAGTTCGCTGTCAGATCGAACTCCTGGGTTAAGTTTAAGGCGGTCCAGATCCTCCGCGAGGAGGGTCGAGAGTGCGAAAACTAGCGCAATGAATAAATAAGCGATAGCCGAGAGAGAGAGAGACAGAGAGAGAGAGAGAGAGAGAGAGAGTCGCGTCCCCGAATGATTTATGACGGGATATATTGATGTGGTCCAGACGCGACCGAGTCCAGCTGGAGGAGGGGAAGAAAGAGATGCATAAGGAATCGTAAAAAGGAGCAAGAAAGAAGATTGTTGGGTGATCTCACTCTTGACTCTTCCTTAGCTTCGAGATTTCGCATTCCGCCCAATCCGCTCTGCTATCTTTAGGACGGTTCAGATGACTATAGTCTATGCTCCGGCATCGGGAACGCATGCGAAAGCGGCTGAGGCTTTGAGAGCGGCTTAACGTGATTTACCGAAGGACACGGCTATCCCGTAATATGGAGTTTGTTCCCGAAAGTCTTGAAAAAGTATCGAAACCTTGGAAACTCGAACCGCTTGGGAATAGCGACGGCAAACGGCAAACGTTGATGGCCGAATAAGCCAACGGGACATTCCGGAGCCGATTCTCCATTTAAACCACAAGAAAGAAGGAAATGAAGAATTCGATTTCGAGTCCATTTCGATCCTTTGAAAGTCTCTGGGCTGCTTTGGGGGAAGGTCGGCCGATCGATCGCCGATGAGACTCGAGGATTCACGAGGGCAAAGAAGTCCACGTACGGGAAGTCTGGGAAAGAAACTCGAGACACGTGATCGCGCACCCGATCAGGACCACCGGGTCCTGATGCTCCTGTGGTGATCGCGATGATCGGGAGTCGGCATGGTGGTCTTAGAAATGAAATTTCGGAGTTTCTCGCAGCGCGAGTAGATTTTATTAGGAGGAATAAAAATGCAAAAGTTTAGCGGGACGCCACCGACATCTGGCGCTTCGACATTCACGTGCTGGCGTCGTAAGATTTCGAATCAAAAAGTGAAAAACCCATCCGCGACGAACGAATTGCGCACTGATGCGTCCATCCGTAAATCGCAGCATCCCGTTCGACTCTTCTTCTTCTCTTATCCTCTCCTTCACACGACGTCTCACCGAGTACTTATCGATCACGATTTCCTCTTTTGAGAATCTTTTATTAATTCAACTGAAGACTTACTATCCCTTAAAAAGACAAGCCCCCAAGCGCAACCCTTCGAATCGCGCATGTTCCTTACACGTGGTCCATTCTTACTTGCGCGTGTTGCTTCTGTACTTTCCCTTTCCGTCGTTTCCACAATTCCTTCGGAAAAGTTGCCCGCCAATTTTCCAGGTTTTCGCGCGACTCAAGTTTCGAGCGTCGCGCTGCAATCGAACGGGAAGAAAGTTTCTTTGGCTTACTATTAGTTGGAAACGGATAGCATCCGGGAAATGCCAATGGGCCGAGGGCTGATTTACATCGGAGTCTCGTTAACAAGGAGCGAAAAAGCGATGCTCGCCTCTCGTTAACAATAAAAACGATTATCGAAGTTTCATTCGGACGGCTGGAAGTTGACTGTGGAATAGTCCCTGGACTGTTACGTGCTGGGACGCCGCACGGAGGAGATGCGGCTCCCACGTGCCGCTACCAATGGTCCAGCGGATTATCAGGATGCTTGCGCTTTTTCCTTCGACTCGTAATGCATCCGTGATTGATGCGCGATGCTAAACCGCACGCAGATCGTTTATTCCAATTGCAGAAAAATAAATGACGAATCTTGCCGGCAGAATTTCCATTCGCTATTCAAATCAATTCGCATCACAAAGGTAATTTACAGGCTGACCGATAGCACATTTTTTTATTACTGATTATTCGTGGAATCGCGTCTTACGCATTAACCTACTTTAGGTCGCGCGATGCACGACGCCTCTTCGTTTTTCCTTCGTTTTTCCCGGAAGCTAACGAACAGCTGCGAGCAGTCTGTCTGGGAAGGGGGCGAGAGGGGAGGGAAGGTGGTTAAAGGCAACAGTAAATACTCAGAAACGGACGGTTCTTACGAGTGCGGAATCGAAGAACGGAGGTTAAGACTCCCGGCGGAAGCGCAGCGCGAAAACTAATTCTTAGGGAGATCACCGTCTGACATGCACCGGCTGCAAGGTGCACTTCCGGTTGCTCCCAGGGCTGATGCAAGGGTCGAGCGCGCAGCAAATAGAAAGGATATGGCTTACGACAGATCGGGAGGATCATGGGAATCAAGGGATGCCGCTATCATGCTGCGAACCAAAATAAATAAGTATTGCGAAGCGAAATGAATAAGCTGATGGGGACTTGTGAGGTCCTTTGATGATCCTACCTCTTGGTTTTTAAATGAAGGCGATAATGGAAACACGCGTTGAGCACGCTCTCTCTCTCTCTCTCTCTCTCGGAAGGAGGAAGATACCTACTTGCCATGAGTCGGCTTCCTTCCCTCATCCATTCCGGAGACACCCGAGTCCCCTGTCCTTGACACCCCCGTCGCCGCGCGACTCCTTTTTGAAATACATTTGACAGGCAACAGCCACGAACACTGATAGGACTTGAGACTTTCACTCTCGGGGAAAGTGCCTAGTCAGATTAAATATAATCTCGCGAGGATTCGGAGGGTCGAAGGTGAAGAAGCAGCGTGCGAGGGGCAAAGTGGAAGAAGATAAAGAAGGAGGAGAGGGGATGGAAGGAAGTTCCGTGTCCGTTCGGCTCCGTAGACTTTGAAGAGTCCCAGTCGATCCCGGGACTGGCAGGACTTCCGGTCGAGACCGTAGACTCAGTCCCTGCCAGCGTCTAGGGAGTCAGCGCCGTTTAACATTACGGGCTTTCGACTCAAAAGTTCCTCCGTTGGCGGAGCAGGTCAAGTGTCACGGGAATATTGTGTCCACTGGTCAGCCTTGTCGATACTCATTCCTTTCGGGTGAAACCACCGCGTCCTTAAGCGTCCGCGACTGCGACGGATCAGTAAGCTCACGGGGAGTTTTGGACGACGGCCCGAACTCAATTGATTAGCTCCCGTTTACATGAAAAATGTAACTAACTGTAAAATGTAACGGACACGTGTTTTCCAGTGATCGAGTATCGACGCTGCCACTCGCGCACGAATCCTACATTATTCGACGGAAGCGAGGGAGGCTGGGAGCCAAGTGATCTGCGAGCCCTCGGGATTTAAAGGAACCGCAGTTCGCTGCGCCAGTGACGTAACAGCCTATCGGGATGCAGAATCCTGCGTCGGCTGGATTGCCCGTCGTCCGCGTGTCTACGCGCGGCCACGTCCGTTCGACGCTCGTGTTCGGACCTTGGGAATCTAAAGGCCGGATTTCTCTAGCCGGAAAGGAAATTCCATTGGCCTACGGATTTGCGAGTCGAGGTACCGCGTGTCTCTGGGAAGCAGGTCGATCGGACGCCACCTGAACTTGCAGGTCGTTATCGTGTAAGAAGATAGTACGTGAGGTGGGCTGAGTGGGATGCGGAAGAATTGACTTCCTGCCAAGGAATACCTTGTCGGAAGTTGTCGTTGAGCTACGCAGAGGAGGACTCAGTCTTGACGGCACTTCCTGGAATTTAGCACTGTCAATGCCATGGATTCGTACTCTTTAACACCATTCCTAGAGGCGCGCTTTATCCCACATAAAGATCTGAAGGACGAACGTGGATCTCGCGATTGTCACACTTGCGTCACACCGTGTTGCGCTTTGCGACTGACGAGTCGGAAGAGAGAACGGGCGAAGGCAGGAAGGAAGGAGATAACGAGCCTCGTGCCTCCTAGCCAAGTTCCCAGAGATCTGCACCGAGCATCTTCGGAGGCGTCGCGGCGCTCACTGCAGAGGCGTCGCGGCGCACCCGCCCTTATAGCATCGTGTTCCGTCCACCCCTCCCCTTCACCCTCCGCGCGCACGTTCTCCTGTCACTCGCCGACGCAAGCGTCCTGACGCCCGGCGTCGAAGAGGCCGGAGCGTGCTCACTCCCAAGTCCAGTCTGCAGGATCGCCTCGTGCCTCCCAAACGGGGCCTGCGGACGTTCCTGGTTCCCATTTCACGTTTCCCGGTTTATCCCCTCGCTCGGAATGGACCGACTAAACATCCTCCCGGAGGATCCGAAGGAGTCTCTACTATGAATGTGGTGATAAAGTCAAGTGGCTAAAAATTCTATTAGAGATAGATAGATCAAGACTTGACCTTCCTCGGATCTTCCTTCAGAACCTGCACCAATTGCCGGAAGTTATACTTGGAAGCCATTCCCGCCCTCCTGTAGACGGCCTAATCTGAGCCATTGAGGAATTAAATTCTCCCTGGTTCGGAGGAGCAGCAAAGGACAGAAGCACGACTACCCGCCCTCCAACCGGAAATAGGCCGTGTCGCGTAGCGGCAGGGGCGTCTCTCGGTTGTAATTCTTAATCTGAATCTTCAGCAGAGGACTGAATTCCATGTCCGATCGGAGGACTCGCGCTTTCCGCACGAATCACTTATTTTGGTTCCCGTGCAGCCCGTCCGGTCGCCAAGCTTCGCTCAAGGCGAATTCCCCTGCAAAGAAGTTAAGAGAGTGCATGTGTTTCCGTATGACATTCCTTAGGTGATTCTCAAATGAGTCCCACGTCTGGGTTGACGTCGACGAATGTTCGGCCGTCCGTTCCAGCAGCTCCGGCCGAGACTCAAGTTTATCCATCACGAGGCTGGACGGCTGGACGGCTGGACACCTTCAGCCCCGATCGTTGCGCCGCTTTTGGCACCCTTGGAGAAACAATTGAGAAGATGCTGCTGGTTCATCGGGTTAAGAATTTCTTTCTTTCTCGACCACTGGTCCAGCATCCGCCAGACAGCTGCACTATTTTCGTGTCCTCCTAGCTCATTTCCAAAAATTCTCTACGTACCTTCGCTCCTGCACAATTTTTCCCTTTTTTCCCCACACTGTCAGGTTCAGAGGTTAAAGAATACCTCAGTTTGTATGAAACATTTCGTGCATTTTATTATAAGAACATACATTGGCAATGCGCGATTGGTATAAAACGAGGACAGATACGGCACGTCCCGTCCAAATCGTGCGAACGCAGCGAAACACTTATGTATACGTGTACGAAGTATCTCTAGGGGAAGTATTATAATAACATAAAAGATATTACAGACGCGTAGTGGGGCGATGCTGCGTGAGAGTGGCTCTAGAAAATCCTAAAAAATGCTTCTTCGCTCCATCGGCGAGCCACGAGTACAATTTCACTTTACACGCAGCACATCAAGTATGACGTTAGATTAATTCATCTGAAACGCGAGGATGCTCCTTGGCTATAGTCGCCTCGTCGCCTCGCCACCTCGCCAAGGAGACCATTCCCATCTGCTTTACGTCTGCCTACGTAATACATACGTCTATCCGCCACTCTACCTATATGTCACTCGCATAGACATATAGATAGAGCGCCATAAAAGGCGATGGGGGATCCATTTTATAGATAAAGCATGCATTCTGCATCGCAAGAATGGGATGCAGGATCGATCGGGCGGTGAGTTCGTCCTTTCGATAAGAGTAAGGCACTTCTGACTCTATTTGCGCGCGATAAATAAATAATACAGGAGGGAGGGATTAGACGGGGAAAATAAAAGACAAAAAGGATATTGGGAAGACGTCGGATCAATTCCCACGAGCCAAGATTCTCGTGATCGATAGCGCCGATCGAGCAATCCTGCTTGGAAAGAAATTGACATGTAAATTGAGAAAAATATTCTATCCTCTAGCGCGTGTCCTCCCGTTTTTCCAATGGACCGACGGGACAATGATGACGACATCGGGAGGAGCACGATGAGCAAACTGAGCAGGATAACTGTAAACGGGACGCGGAACGGTGCGAGATCCTCGTGAGGGTCTCTCCCCCCCCCCTCCCACAGCCTCCGAGAGAACCTGGACCTAGACGATCGAGTAGTCCTCGAGAAGAGTCTCGCCAAAGTGGGTGACCACGTAGTCGTGGTAGTACATCATGATGCAAAGTGGCTGGCCGATTATCAGACTGGACCAGACGACGATGTTTCCCCATCGGGCGCCGCAACGCTTCTCCACTATCTTACTCAGGGCGGACAGAGGGATCTGAAAGAGTGAAAGACGTGTTCACGTGGCTGCCTTGCGCGGTTCTTCTCGTTCGCCGAGACTTGAGACAACTAATTCGAGTAATCAAGCTAATCTCACCTGTCCCATCATTCCCATGAATGCCCAAATTTTGAAAGTCTTGAGCGGCACGCTGACGAGGTACTCGTGGAAAAAGGCGCTGATGAAGAAGACCGTTATGCTGGCGGTAGACTTCCCGTAGCCCATCCCCACGATCGGTATGTAAAGATGCCTGAAGCAATAAGGATAGAATATTTAGGAAAAAAAAAAAAGAATACTCTCAGAAAGGCGCTCGTTCGGCTTTTGCCGCGACGATGGCAGCTCGGAAATGATATATGGAGATCGAATGGCTGACGCGTGCATCGGCCACAGCCATTTCCAATGCGACGTTCCATTACGCGGCCATTATAAAGGATCTGGAATAAAGAGCAGTAAGTGCGCCAGGGCGACGAGTATCGGCTTTTCCCATTACACTGCTGAAAGGCCGACTCCGTTCTTCCTTGAGGCTCCGCGCCAGTCTGGGCGCCTGATGCTCCTCCTCGTCCTCCTCTCCTTGGGATTCGATATTCCTCGAATATTATGTCATATCTTGGAACTTCAATCTTCCCGGCCGCCTTCGACTTCCGCTGATCGTGGAAGTTAAGGCTCGCAGGTTCGGCCTCCAGCGAGGACGTTGCTGCTCCTCTTTCGTGTTTTTCGGTCCTTTCGCTCGGCTTTGGGCAGTTCTCAGTGAAATTCTTGGCGAATACCAAAACGATTAGCCAGTGATTGCTATTTGCGAGAATGGCGCGCGGCCAGGAACGGTTCAAGGTTTCGTCAGGATGAGCGTTCTGGCACCTCGGAAATATTTGTTAATCTCGCGCGACGGCCCCGCGGTGAGAGTGTCTTCCGTTAAAAAAATCTAATTAAATGTCTTTAAACCGGGAGACTCGTTAACGAACTTTCCCTTCCCGGCGCGGCTGCGGGGTGGAACGTCGATTAAACGTCCTAACGATTTCCAAAAACGAGAACTTCCTGAGCCCCCCAAGCGCTCCGCTTCTTCTTCTGCTCCCGTTCGGGTACCGAACCGTCCCGCCTCCACGGTCGCCTTTGGCGACCCCAGTTCATTTCGCTTCTACGGAGCTCAAGGCGAACAGAAGAGAAAGGCAGAAACTTGGAAAAATGGTGAAATGCTTCAGGACGGAAAAAACTTGCGTTGCCTCGATGGAATCTCGATGTAGCGGAAGACACGATATATTTATTCTGGAAATGGAATCTGTCTGGACGCAGATGACGTAAAAAGAGTCGAATGATACAAACGTAAGAAAAATACAAGATACACTCACCGTATAGCCCATCGATGGACCGGTATGTTCCAGCTTCTCCAAAAAGTATCAATATTGTTAGAATTCCACCAGTCTCCGTAAAAGTTCCGATCCGCGAAATGCAGGAGTTCGCCCATAAGGTTCAAGTAGGAGTGGAAGACCAGATAGAAAAAGCACAGCCACATCAGATGATTCGGAATCTGCGAGCATCCAAATGAACTTACGTTAATCCACTCGAGTGTCGTTGTCCATCCCGCATTATCACCTGTTATCTCTGCTATCCGAATCGTCTGCATTATCTAACGGTATCTGCTCGCGCAACGACGACCACGATACCCGCGCCAATGATTTTCGCGATAATTCGGGGCGCTCGGTTTGCCTCTTTGTTGGATTCGCAGGATTCGCAGGATTCACAGGATTCACAGGATTCGATGCTTCGGATCGGTCACGTTTGCCCGTCTTTCTTTATTACGTGTCATTGTCGATCGTTCCTTCCCAATAGGAATTAACGAGTCGATCGAGCTATCAGAGAGTCCATGCGAAATTGGCAGAGTCGGAAAATTCGTCTGATTTATTTGCAGAAACGATTTGCTCACCAAAGAAGGCGGACTTCGGCCTGCGTCCCACGTGCTGGGTGGGAAGATCCTTTTTTTCTTTTTTCCACGATCCGTTAGTAAATCTGGCAGTTTGAACCATAATAGCCTGTGACGGAGCACGTGCGCCTGGTTCGCTGGCTGTTTGCGCCGAAGCGCGTGGCGATTTATCCTCTTTTGCTGCCGACTAACTTCTAACTCTCGTTCCTACCCTTTGCCTTGGCTGGCGCATTATCTATTTTTCTCTAAATCTAGCCCGGAGGCCCCGTTAACACGGTGTAACTGTGCGTTCCTAATAGGGACGTACAAAGCGGGCTGCGTTCTCTGGCTAATTTCGCTCTGAATATCGAGAGCCGTTCGGACGCGGCCAAATAAAAGTCCTAGCCAAAGCGCCGTAAACGGATTTGAGTGTGATGAACGAAAGGAAAGTGAAGAAAGTTTGGCAAAGAGAGGGAGAGAGGGCGCCCTTTTAATTTACACTCATCGCTACTCCAAAGAATTTGAAAGTTATTTCGGTTCCGTTTAGTTGGTAGGAAGTGGCGAATGCCTTTCCTACCACAATGGTGGATTCGTGCGAGTTCAGGCTGGTCCAGCAGGCTGACTCGAGAGGATGCTGGTATGTATCTCGGCTGGGGATTGCGCTACCAAACCAAACGAAAACAAGTCGAGTGAGGTCGACCGGGCTAGGAGTCCGGGAGTCGAGCCGAGTGAAGCGCAAAGTCAAAACGCGCCACGTGCTCCAGGCAGCCCTTTGCTGAAGTAGCAAAGGACTTAATAATGTTGCCGCAACAAAGGTGCGGTCAAGTTATCTCGGCCGCGAGCCACCCTCTTCTGCACTCGGAGCCACCCTAGTCCACCTCCTTCCTTCCTTCCTTCCTTCCTTCCTTTCTTTAAACGGGAAAACTTCTTCAGATCTTTTAATTTCGTTTCGCCAAAGGAATGCCCGCTGGCCGTCTTGACCCTCGGAATTCTCATAAGGAAAACATTAAAGCGGCAGGAAAGTCTCAAAGTTCTCCCTCTTGGCGCTACGTGGCGCTACGTGGCGCCAGGTGGACGCCAGGTGGTCGGAGCGACACTAGACGCTGTTGCTCCTCCGTCATTTCCCTGTAGCTTTCCCACTTCCTTTGTGCACTTCCCTCTTGCGCCAGCCTATTCGAGTTTGCGAGGTCCAATTCGTTCGGGATCTCTTTGAAAGCGGCGCGACTAACGTACTTCGTACCATTCGTACCATTCGTACCATTCGGCTTTCGCTCGAATGGCAACTCCGAGAGCACCGAATCTCGATTCTCCCCTCGACGCTCGACCTGCAGCAAAATCGTCCTACGTCATGTCCGTCGATCCTAAAGGGCCGCTATCATGCGATACGCACACCATGCTGCTGCGTGGCTGCGTGGCTGCGTGGCTGCGTGGGGCCAACGAGGACCAAGATAAACTTTCCGTTAAGGAGCTCCGATGATAACACTCAAATCCAAGATAGAATTACGAATAACTGACAATACTGAATATTCGTTTATGCAAAATTTCAACATGATTCGTCGTATAGTTTCTGTATAGATATACTCAACCTATAAAAATTAATAACTTGAAAATTCGATATCGAGGTTACTTTATATTTTCACGCTTTTATTTTCGAATCAAAATCCTACCTGTTTAACCAGTGATCCCCTATTACTGTTATGATTGTTATCACTGAACCACCTTAGCAGCGAACAAGGGTTCCTCAAAGTTTTCAATCTCCATATTGCAGGACGTGTATTCGCAGGAAATTGAACATTGATCTCTGAGATCCGTCAGACGTGAGAGAGAGGAAAAAAAAACTTACCGCTAGTTTGAGGAGGCGCTCCGACGCTTTCGCGACGTCCATGTTCTGAAACATAGAACAAGAGTGATAAGATTCAAAGGGTAAATAGCTCGGAATGAGGAAGGAAGGAAGGAAGGAAGGAAGGAAGTGCGTGACGGAGGGGCGCACAGGGTAGTTAAGAAATAGCAGTGGCTTAACATGGCGTGCAGAGCGCACTAGACAAGAGGGCTCGGGCCAGGTTCGGCTGGAATCCTTAGCTAAGGAAATCGCACTCGCGCCTACAGGGAGAACTAAACTTTCTAATTGAGCGCAACGCGCGTTCCCAGAAGAGCGTCTTGATTTCGCGACGTGCTTTAGCGTCGGGAAGGTCACGTGGGAGCCACGTGGAAGACTCGCCAAACGTCAAGTGTCAAAAGCTCCTTTTCCTCGTCTCGTGTTCTTCGGGCATTCTAGCAACTCCTCGGGGGATCCTTCAGGAAAGGAAAGATCCTTAGAAGAAGTGCGAGTGCGAAAGGACATCCTAAATCCTAAGACAGCCGAGTCTTGCGCTTCCTCCTCGTAGTTCTAGAAGACGGCGAAGGAAGCCGCTGATCCATCTCAGGTCGCTTCACTTCGCCTCCACTTCGTAAGCGGAGAAACAAATTTTTCCGAGAGAATTGCTCCTCCTCCTCCTTCGTGGATATACGCGTATTATTAAAACGCCTTTCTTTATATTAACATGCAGGTGTTCCGGGCATAGAAGGAATTCAGGAGGGCGCTCAAGAGGACTACGTTCGAGTGTCTGCAGACGCGTCGTCGCGAGGCCCGACGAAAGGCGATATTAAACTTGAACGAGACGACTAGGAGGATTTTTCATTTGGAAAACAAAGAACCGAGCAAAAATATATCAGAGACAAAAGGATAAAGAGAAACGCAATGAAACGTCGTGAAAAAAGGTTAAGGAGACGCGTGAATGAGTCGCCGCGCGATCGAAGGGAAAGGACGAAGCGACACGGCTCGCAGGATGCACTTAAGAGCTCTCCAAGACTGGCTCCATTCAAGCGGATATTTGCGACAGATCGTAACTGGATGCACGAGGAAATTGGGCTGGCCTTGCCGGTGACGCCGGTGCCGCCGGTAAGTGGCGTTCAGGGAGGCAGCTGCCACTGGGTGGCGCAATAAGCAGCACGAATCAAAGTACCTCAAGTGCCTCCCCATCGACTGACGAGCAGCCTGCAGGACTAAGAGAATGAGAATAAGAGAATAGGAGAAGAAGGTGCAGGAGGTGAGAAGGGATGACGTCGAGGGGCGGGAGCCTCGTTGAGAAGCTAGACGTATCTGGCTTCGAATTACGCAATTTTTGGCGGCGCGTCTCCTGTTTACCTTTTCAGACTTTCCCTCGGGCCTGCCGACGCTTTTGCAGGTTCCGCAACTTCCGCCAAGTACCACCCCTGTATCCTTCCATTCAAAGGAAACCATCCCTTCCGAGCAACGCCACTCTCTCACTTTCCTCTTTCAGCCTCATTTCCATTTGCACGCCTCCCTCCCCCAGCCGGCTCCCTTCGTTCGCTTATCGTTCCGTCTCTTCGTCTCTTGTCAACAAACACAAAGAATCTGTCGCGCCCCTACACCAAATAGAGAAGTCATTAGACTCTGTGCCGGATAATTGATTTTTGAAATTAAAATAGTCCTCAACTCGTCTTTAACGCTTTGTACTAAACATCCGGACTGGCTTGCCGGAGTCCAAATTAAAGAACAACGAACTTCCAAATGTAATTCGTTCTTTCCCTTCAATTTCCCGGAAGTAGAGGAAGAAAGGCAGGGCGTGGGAAATAAAAGAATTCGAGGCAGGAGCCTTACGCAAGAAAAAGGGTTATAATAATCCGAGAGTGAAGTGGGGCCTGGGTCTTCGTCGACGAGAACTCTTGGAAGCGACTGTACAGAACGGCACCCCCCCCCCAACTTGCCTCGACCCCCTTAATCTCGGTAGCCCCGAGTCTTCTGCTCCTCTCAGGCCCCTCGCGGTCACCCTGGAGCTTCAATCTGCTCTTTGTCTTTCTCTCCGGGTTCTTCTATATGGAAGTAGATAAAAAAAGAAAAGAAGGAAACAAGGGAAGTAAGGGAGAGCTCGCAGGGGACGCGGCAGGGAGGAACGGAAAGAGACGAATCAACACTTTTTACGTACTTAAGGTATTATAATATCTGTTATTTTTATTAGCGGGAAAAGATTTGCAGCTTTGCATTCTCGATCAGGTTGCTTGGTTGGGGCAGAGCGACTGGAAGGAAGACCGAAGGGAGATCGAATCTGCGAGAATCCAGGCGAAACGAGCGAAACGAGCGAAACGACAAGATAAATAAAATTAAAAGCACTCTGAAAAGGATTTTAAGTATTTTGTTCAAAAGCAAAAGCAGCGAAGCGACGAGTAAAGGAAATACCAGGAGACGTTGGCTGACGGAGACTCTGCCAGTTACAACGGAACTTGCTCTCACCCGGCTCAGGTTAGGTCAGGTTAGGTCAGGTTAGGGGTCATTACGTCCGCCTACGATTGTCGAGGGCTGCAATCTTTCGGTGGACTCAATGGATCGATTCTACGCAGGATGAGTTGCCTCCGGATATACTAGGCAAGATATCAGTGCGATTTCATTTGTTTCTTCGTTTTCAAACGAATTCATTTGCACTGACTTCATTCGAAAGGGAACTTCATTCGTGGAAATTAATTACAGAGGCGGCCTGCGATTAATCTGGCATCTCGCGGTGACACAGGATCTTGAGCTATTCTCCGAGAAAAAGGCAGAGAATGTTGCTCCAACGGGGTAACTCGAGTCACGAGTCATTTTTATATAAACCATGTGTACATATATATGTTTTGTTTTTCACAGGGGGCAGCTGCAGAAGACAAAGAAGCCCGGTCGACTCGAAGTGTCTCTTGGTAGGACCGCAAGTGGGAATCGTAGACGAGAGAAGATCGAATAATAAATCTCGAATAAATTGAATGGAACCAGGGAAGGAAACGTCGATGGAATAATAAGAGAGCAAAATAGAAATATGTACATTGTACGGTAACAGAGAACATATCGTGTGTTGGAATGGGAGTCTCCTGCAGGCAGGTTCCTTAGGACGGATTGTCGGCCGCTTTAAATAAAATTTTACGTTTGTCTCTGGATTCGAATATTCTCACGAAATTCCTCATTTCTCGATTTATTCTGCGAGTTCTGCAAGCGCAGGAGTCACGTGGTCGCGCGGACGCGCGTCGAAAGGGATGAAAGCGCGACCCTCTTCGCGTTGCGGTCAATAAAGCGGCTGTATTTCTGTTAATTACCGAGTAATAAATTAATGCGCGAATGAGACGAGAGTTGCGCTTGATGGGCCGGCACGTCGCCATTAAAGTTATCAGCGGCGCGACGATAATTTTACTGGCAGCCACGAGGACCCAGGAGGCACGGGAGGACCCGGGAGGACACGGGAGGACCCCAGCAGGGATCGACGCTGCTGTTCCAGGATGGTCGGGTAGAGGGACGACTGGCGACGGGAGCAGCTTGGCGAGAGCATTTTTAGCACCGCCATATTTCAACACACCCCCGCGCGGCAGTACACTGCAACGACACCGGGGTGTCGGAGGGCCGAGAAAACAGCATCCGATAGACTGGGAATTCCTTCTGGGGCCGCTACGCGCGAGATATGCGGAATGCGACAAAAAAAAGGCCGTTCGCAGGGGGAGGTAATAAAAAGTCAAATAAAACCAGTCCACGTATGTTCGCGTATGGCCGTATGTGTTCCGGTACGTGCTTCACGTGTGCTCACGTATCACATCAATGTACCTCAGAAGGAATTTAACTTTCCTTGTGCAGCCTGTCAGAGAGAGAGAGAGAGAGAGAGAGAGAGAGAGAGAGAGAGGGAGGGAGGGAGAGACTCACCCCCGCAGATCCAGGTTAGCTACGCTCAGCGTCTTATAGTTATCGTAGTTTGCGATATTTCATCCCGTTTTCGAGGGACCCGAGAGATTTGTCCCCTGGACTTTCGAATGGACCACCCGCAGCGTGGAAATGCGTTTCAAGGAAGAACCGAAAAGAGATTCCGTCGATGATCATATTGGCAGGAGACGCGAGTCCAGTCGAGAGACGAGAAGGACCGTTTCGCGTGAACGAGGGAGGCTGGAAGTCTGGGAGGATGGGGAGGGGGGACGGCCGGAAGTGGTTACCTCGTCGAACTTTCCGGCGCGTATTCGCGATTAGGCAGCTGGCTTACTACTGCGCCATTCGACATTATTAAGCTTTTACAGCCGAGCGAATCCACTATAGCGATCGCTATAGGCGACTGCCAAAGTGCCAGCCGCTATAGGTAACAAGAAGCCACCGAGTATCAAAGTTAGGAGGAGCCAAGGGAGGGAAGCGAGGGGAAGTTCAAAGTTCAAAGTTGGTTAATACACGCGGAAGAGCGAGTGCGAATACGCGAAGATGATTATTCCCCAGATGAATTGGTGCTGCGATTCCATCCCTACTGTGACTCCTGTACCAACCCTGTACCATCCCTGCACCACCCTTCCTGCCGAAAGAGTAGACGGGAATCCACGAGAGATTTTCAAGGTGAAAGAACCCTCGAGTGAAGCTTCGCAAAAAGAAAAACGCAAAGCGATCGCTCCTCTTGAGTTCGCCAAGACTTTGTCCAGTCGATCGATTCAACAATTACGCTAGAGCGTCAATTGGACATGGGCTCTCCTGGTACGCGCCGTGCACGTGGACCTGCCTGAATTCCTCTCTCTCTCTCTCTTTGTTTCTTCTCTAACTTCATTATTCTCACGGCTCCTTTTCTTCTTCTATTTCGCCTTTGCTCGCGCTTCGTCATTTATAGGGAAACCATTCAAAGTCAATGTGTTTTGGTAAATGTGAAGAGGTAAAACTTACGCTGAAGGGTATCAAAGAATTTTTGACAGATGGCACCATCCACTGCTGGAAGAGAGACATGACCACTTGACAGCCAACAAGAACCTCGAGGATGCGTTTTATCAGGAACCTGAACAGAAAGATAAGATTATTAGGGTTAAGGGGTCAAAGGTCACAGACGCCGTTGATCCAATGAGCCGGGTTTGGTTTCACCGAGTTTAACCAATCAGATGCCTGCGTTCCCGGAAATTCGGAATCTGATTGGCTAATCTCGACAGTTACACCTCGGTTAACTTCGGTGAAACCGACCCTAAATGTAAATCTTTCTGAAAAGAGCACAAAGCGTCCCAGCTATTTGCAAACGTCAGCTTATACGCGAAAGGAGCGCATCGCGTCGGCGGGGCTTTCGCGTGCCATTTTTTACTTTAAGCGGCTTTTACCTACAATTTTTCCCATAACGATTTTTCACATTTGGTTCTCTCTCCACGTTTTTCGGATTACGGCTGCAGCCTAATTTCTCCTTTTTCCAATATTATATAGTGCATCCCCCTTCGGTTCTGCGCTTACTCGTCTTTCAACATCTTTTCCTTCGTAATCGATGTCTCTCTCTCTCTCTCTCTCTCTCTCTCTCTCTCTCTTTTTTTTAAATTACAAAAATGAGCCCAAAGCACATGCAAGCATATATTTACGTACAGCGAGTGTGTTATCGCAAAGACTGAAACCTGAAAGACTGAAAATTGAAGAGAGAATGCGCAATGGTGCAGGGCCAAAGAAAGTATACAGGGTGTTCGTTATGAAACGCACTGTAGTAACATCGTTGCCAGAGAGAATGCGCAATGGTGCAGGGCCAAAGAAAGTATACAGGGTGTTCGTTATGAAACGCACTGTAGTAACACTGTTACATTCCTTTTCAAATTCTAATGAATACGTGTTTTCATTTCTTATTTCACATATCAAAATTTCGAGATAATCAAGGTTGAAGTTGCAGTAATGCGACCAATCAGAACGCGTTTTAAACGGAGCGTAGATGACGTCCAGAGTCAGCCCGCAAGACCTGCTTACACTAGGCCAATAATACTAAGAGTACCGTCTCTTGTATCTTACTCAATTACATGCAGATAAATAAGGACACAACGACGATACTCTTAGTGTTATTGGCCTAGTGCAAGCAAGTCTTGCGGGCTGGCTCGCGACGTCATCTACGCTCCGTTTAAACGCGTTCTGATTTGTCGCATTACTGCAACTTCAACCTTGATTATCTCGAAATTTTGATATGTGAAATAAGAAATGAAAACACGTATTCATTAGAATTTGAAAAGGAATGTAACAGTGTTACTACAGTGCGTTTCATAACGAACACCCTGTATATATATTTCTATGTATCGAGCTACATTCTACGAAGTTACAGAGTTAGCGGGACGCTAAACTACAACAGGAAGACACGTGACCTCCCGGCACGCGTTGCCCGTAAGAGCTCGCAAAGGAAGCACCCATAGGAGGAATTGCGCTGGACTGTTTTTAGTGAAACAGAGCTGAGATATGTTAGAGAATAGAGAATATACATATGTATACCACCAGGAGATTCCATGCAGCCCTCCTGCTTCTTTTTCATCTTTTTCATCTCCTTCCTCTTCTTCCTCTTCACTCTGCATTTCCAAGAATAGCCCACTTAAATCTAATTTCGGGAGTAGCTTTTCAATTCCCCGTGTACCTTTTCCTTCAGTTCGATCCGAATATCGACATTTAGGATCTCGAAAGCCACAGAGATTGAAAAGGAAGATGTTGGAATCCAAGGATCAGCTTCGGACACTGGCAGTGGCTGTTTGCGCTATTTTCGTTATTTTCGTCATCTTCTAATTCAGACACGGTCTACTTGCCTCTTTCGGATCCTCTGAGTCCTGGGGAAGTTGAGTTCGTAGCAGAGGGTCGGCGCCAGGATGTAATAGTAGAGATCACCCAGGGTGAGGTTATCCGGGTACTGGACCAGGGCTGGGCTTCTACCCTCCTTTTCATCCCTCGCATCCGCAGTCGCGTTTCCATTTTGCTTAACTTCCGAGGCTGCAAAAAGAGAATTTACTTCTTAATTGAGCTGCCGAAATAAGATATGCCCAGGAGGCTCTTCCTAATTCATGACATCTAGTTATTATCAAGGAAAACACTAAAATCCCCCCTCCTGTGCCAGCGCTCGCCCCTTTGAGCAGCCGGGCAGCAGCTGGGGGGTCAAAAAGGGACAGAGATGCAGGGATCGAGGGATCGTCCTTGAATCGAGTTCCTCGAGAACCTTTCGGGAGAATCTGTCCTGCTCCGAGTAGAGCGGTGCGTGCTCCACGTGCACGACCTTCCCGGCCCCGAGTGACGTTTCACTCGATCAAGACAAGAGACAAGTGGAAGAGGCACTTCCGGCTCACAATCGAAATGGTCGACTTCCGGCTCACAATCGAAACTAACGAAACGGACATTCTCGAGTAAGCGACTTTGCAGTTTCGCTCGAGGAAGGATTTGGCATCAGCAGCAGCATCACCGTCGGCATCTGATCTAGTCAATGCCAGGGATAACTGATAGAATTCCTTCAATTATCCAAATCCGATAGATAATCCAATCTGGAATTGAAATAAGCTTCCATTTCGGCCCGTCTTTCTCTCGTTTCATCTTTATCAAGAAGAAATCGATCTCTTTCCAGGTCGAGTCTCAGCTTCGGCTTTCGAAGGTCTCCCGGACGACGTCCTGATCCTTCCGAATCTCAAAGGACAGAGTCACCGTACCCATTCGAGAAGAGTGAAACTGCCTGGCAGAGCCACGTGGCGGTACAATTAGACGGAGTCGTAGGGGTAGCTTTGCCTGTTAAAGACTCAATCGCACGGAGCCCCAACACGGTAGCTATGAGGACGTTCTTCAGGACGTTTAGGTCTCAACCCACGTTGCACGGCAGGTCACGTGCTGCGAGGAGCCGAGAGATCGAGCGGCAATCTGCCGGCCTCGGAATTGCCAGCTGGAAATTGCCGCCAATTGTCCTGGAAGAAAGGAGGGCACGAAGGCGCGACCGCGGGATTAATTTAGGAGAGTCTCTCTCTCTCTCTCTCTCTCTCTCTCTCTCTCTGTCCCACTCCAAGATATATGAACAGCCAGGCTGCGGGGGTTGTCGCAGTTCCTAAGAGAGCCTCTGATAGCTGCAGCCAGGAGGGGGTGGCTTAAGCACCTTGACATCTCTCGCCACAAAGGTCAAATTACGTTGGTCGCAGAGTGCCGGGCGTGATTGAAAAAAAGAAAAATTATCCCGCCAACGAGATCCTCCCCCCCCTCCGCCCCACGGTAGTTCACTCGGAGAGAAGAAAAACGCGTCGCTGCGTCCCTCACCTGCTGAGCCTGGAGGCAGAAGCGGCACGGAAGGCGTAAAAGGGAATCGCAAGTAAAATGTCTTCGTACGCCGAGTACTGGAGCCTCGATTGCCAGAGGAATGAAAGCGACGTTAACCGACAGTTAGACGGGAGTCGGGAGATTGTCTCGGCGATCGGCGCTCGTGAAGGAGGCTGCTAACGGGGACTTGGCACTGGCGCGCGCACGTAAAGTCAAATGAAGCCACAGGAAATCCAAGTCTGGACGACGCGCGCTACGGGCACCCGCGAAGATGAGTTCCCCGCGGGAGATTGACATGGGACGAGGGCGAGGGAGATGGGGCCCTTTGAGAAACTCATCAGGGCGAATGGCGCCGAGGCACGCGACGCCTCCCGTGCGTCCCGTGCGTCCCGTGCGTCCCGTCCTTGTGGATTGATCCTGCTGCACTCCAGCGCCGTCGCGTGATGCGTTTAAGAATCCCCGTGCCGGCTTCAGGAATCGCACCACGGGACGAGGAGGACGCCGACTGGCGTCGATTGCCGTCGGATGCGGGACCTCTTGCGCCCTTTTAATACACGGATCGTGGAGTCCGTTGGGATCGCGGCTCGTAATTCGACTGAATAATCGATACCTACCGGAAATGGACGAGAGACAGACGACAGACGACAGACTGGTCGAATTGGAGGTGCAGTCATATACTGCACTACCTGGGCGTCTCGCATTCCTCTTTCGTCTCTCCATTCGTTCGATCCGTCTATTTTGAAGTCCGTCCAGTTTCCCTGCCCACCCCATCCCCGTCCCCCAGGCAGCAGTTGCCGCCTCTTCGTCTTTCAAATTCGAAAAAAAAGGACAGCGGGGATCCTCGAGGAAGGACGGAGGAGGAACCGGGTTGACCAGCCGCCACTTTCTACTTACATTGCAGGTTGTTACAGGAGAGTGACTGCCGACGCATTCTTCCCTGGGACGTGCTCTTCCGGCGGCTGCTCAGGCGACACCACATGTTCACCTGCACGTAGGACCACAGCTTCAGGAAGAGAATCGCGTAGAGCATGCAGACGTACATGGCGCCGACTGAAACACACGTCAAAGGAAGAAGCTTCAAATAAAGAATTTCCTGGGAAAAATTGGGATTCGGCGCAGCCGAAGGTCGGAGGTCGCGATCGACGTCGACTCGAAGATTCTCCATGGGAGTTTAAATACATCTCGTATATCTAGGAGAGGAAATGGCAGCCGATAGCGCGCGGCGGCTGGAGACGAGATTGAGACTCATCCTGGAGCGTGGACTTCATTATTCCTCTGGAAGAATTTGCATTATGATATCAGAAAATGATCTCGTTGTTATGCGGTGTCGCGTGGACTTTTATATTTTCCGATATTTCCATTAACTTCCAACGAGCTCACTTTTCCTCTGGCGTATTGTTCCTATCTTAATTAAATCGCGCAACGCAAGACGCAAGACACCCAGTGCCCCCGAAGCAATTTCACCGAATTTACTTAAATAACGTCAATCGTCATTCTCGGGACACTTTCTCTGGGGCGGGTCGACGCGTTGCTTCCAAATAGGAACCTGCGTCAACGTACCATCCTGTGAGCTTAGGAAAAGTTCACCCTGGAAAGGTGCTAATTGCTGAATGCCGTGAGATACATTAAACATTGCTGTTCCGATAGGAGAAATTTAGTCTCGCAGTCCTACGTTCCCTTTAAGCCGCCACAGTTTTATCCCTTCTAAAGAATTCATGAATTCATCGGGACGTCGCTGAGGGAGAAAAGACTCGAAAAAGCTTCGAGATGACCGCCATTTTTTCACAACATCCTTCCAGTCGGCTGTGGCCATTTCAGCCGGGCTCCTCGAGAAAGGACCCTTCGCCGAGTTATTAGCCGCCCCTGAACACGAACCGAGTCAGTTCCTGACGTTGACTATTAATCCTGCTACTATTCTGTCTCCCCGCTACCTTCCAACTGGCAACTGCCTAGCCGATCCTCCATTGACCCCGACTCGCTGCACCCGTTCCGAAGGACTGCGAAGGACCACCGAGGCAAGAACAAGAGACGCTCCGCGGCAGAGCTTGAAAATGGTCTCCATAGATTCGAAAGGTGAAAGCAGGAAATAAGATAAGCGGAGGAGTGCTCGCTATGCTTGACTGGTACTTTGATAGCAGCTCCTGGCTGACGTACATTATTTCCCCGGCACTACTCGCTTCCGATCGAAACTGCGAAAGAAGTTTGGCTGTGCTCGCTCATGTTTTACCGATAGCTGCTCGTGCATTGTATCGGGACGCGACTATAAGAGAAGAAGTTTCAGCGTGAAAATAGTTTCTCAATTTTCTCCGACAGTTTCCCGAGGAATTGCTACTTTTCCACTGGGCCATTGTCGTCGGCCGCGATCCGCATTTCCAAGGACCCCCCTCCCGTCGCTCTTTCACCTCCCACCGGCAGCCTTTCGAGTGACTCGACCAGGACGCGTGCAGCAAGTTCAGGAGCACAAGGAAAGCCGCAGGATATGTTTTGATTAGGTTCTATCGATTGGAACGCGACATCGCTAGCGTCCCGCAAGTATCCGCCACCCAGCCACCCAGCCATACCAAAGTGAAGAAAAGTAAATTCGTCGGGGCTCTCAAGTGGCTCTTAAGACTGCACCGACCACCGACTTTCAAAACGATTCAATTCATTCGCTCTCACATTCTTCCATCGTTTTTACCTCATTTACATAAATGCATTGCGCACGCAACAAAAGATAACAGCGCTATCAACCAATACGGTATCGCACTGGTTATCTATTTTAGAAAATTACAATTTTCAACAGCATTGTTTTAAACGCAAACAAATTTTGAATCCAATCAGTTCATAACTACAGCATATCGCTTCAAAGCCAAATACAATTTTCAGGGATAACGTGTCTCTCTTTGAAGGCAACAGCGTTTTCGAAAATCAATCAGTTTATTTGACAACCGAAAATGCTAATTTTCTAAATTGAGCAGACTATAAATGTCAAATACAGCAAATTCACACGCATCACCCGACTAATCAGCATCGCGGAAAGCCGACAACAATCGTTCGAGACTTTTGGATAGTTGCGTTACGTCACTTTTTCATGGAACAAGGAGAAGAAGCGGAGGAGCGGAGGAGCATTGATGCAGTTGATCGACTGACCATCCATTCCATTGTGCAGCCATTGGGCTGAAACGCACCACTTCGAATCCAATAGTTATCATCGTGCGACGGCTTTATGTCCGTGCAAGTACCATTTGGCAACGTTTGAAAGCGAAATGCGACATTTTTGGATTTTTGTCGGGAAATTGCGCAAAGTACCGAATTGCAAACGACTGAGATCAATCGGCCGCCAGTCGCTGAATTGCCAGGTGCTATAGAAAGCCCACGTGGACGGGGCACGGACAGATTTCGTAAAAGATCTGCAGCAGTGATTGTGGCGGTGCTGGGAATTTCACGTGCCGTGACCAAGTGCCAGGATAAAATCGCTCACTTTGCGTGCGCCGCTTGTCGCTTGTCGCTTGTCGCTTGTCGCCAACATGGCATGATTATCGCGCAGACTTATTCTTCACGGATTTACGTCTCATGCCTAAGAGAACTGTGCGACTCTCTCTCTTCTATTTCTTCTCTCTCTTCTCTCTCTCCCTCTCTCTCTCTTCCTCTATCAATAAAATATCAGTCACGTTATTCTCAGAACAAACTAATTTTCAAATTACAAGCGACAGCTTTATTTTCATCGAATCTGACCCTGAATCAGGCAAAACAGACGTGGAGTAAAAACTCTTTTTCTTCTAGCAGCTACTCGAAATTCATGGACCATTCCTATCGACCCGTTAATCTCATAAATTCGAACATGGTTTATCCCCGATTCGCAAAATCCATCGGTCACGAGTCAGTGGAAACGCGTAATTCCCTACTTATGCCCTCCTCGGCTCTTCCTTCAGGCTGCTGGTAGCGACTCGACCTGCCGCCTGGCACGAATTCCGACTTGGCACAAAGGTGCAATCTTCGGCCGAACTTCGCCATGCGTGAAGTCGAATCTTGGCACCGAATGCCGCTGCTGTGGCAGGTAGCGAATTGCGAATTGCGAATTGCGAATTGCGAGTCGCACGTTCATCTCCACCCAAAGCTCCCCCCTCCAGTAGCTCCTCTGATCTGCGCGCAGCCCAAACCGCACTTCCCCTCGAACCATTCGAATTGGACATTCTTGGTTAGCCGAAACCCTTCGGAAATTGCCGGTATCCTCGGATGCCACCAAATCTCCCAATTCAGTCGCCATATCTCGGTTCCACCGCGGCACGAGAAGTCCAGGAAAGATCCGGAAGGGATCCTTCACAAAGGGATGTAGGACGTACCAGATGTCTCGGGAGCAGGCATTGGAAACTGCTAACTGGATCAGGTATAGATTTCCGTTTTGACCAATTTTTCACGCGTCCCGAAAGTAACCGCGCACGCTATGTGACATAGTGCACGTGTATGGCCAATAATCCGATTCAGCACATGCAGTTGACCGTATGCACGTAGACTATATCTATAGGTGCCTGAAAGTGACAGGGATAAGAATCTACATGTACGCATGTCAAGTTATCAATTATTTCGAGTCCATTAGCCACTTTTTTATCCTGATGCTTTCCCATCAGTACGTGACTCTGGAGCTCTCGCATCCTCCTGACCATTATCCGGCGAAAGAACTAATTTCCCGGCCTAATTTCGGACGGATTATCTCCCGTAAATGGCACGCTATGCATTCGCTGTAACGAGCTAGTTAACCTAACGGGAGCTGGCTGGGCTCCAGCGTTGCTGCATATGTAAATACGTGTCCGGCCGGCACTATGCAGCCACTCTGTGTGCGCGTACCATCATCCGAGGCAGCTATGTACCTAGCTGCCGACGTCGGCGGCGCCTGCATAGGCGTAGCGCAACTAGGAAGCCTTTCAGCCTTTGCGCAGCAGAGCAATTCTCGCTTTTTGGCTCGCGACGTCTTTCGCGCTTCGACGAATTCGCGCGTTCTCCTCGTCGTCCTCGTTCCAAGTCTACGAGTCGCTCCTGAATCCTGACTCCTTCGAGAAGCCAAATTCTCTTGGCTCTCTATCCATACATCCATCCGAGAGGACCTACGGGCGCGTCTCGATCCTTTGGGAGTTTCGATTTAATTTCACCATTTTTATCAGGCACATCCCTTTGGCCAAGAGAACCCGGGGAGCCCGAGAAGGGTAGCTGAACTTGGTAATTTGAGAGTGGGACAGGAGAGTAGGCAAGGGAAGACGGGGGGAGTCTATACGAAGAGCGGAAATTACGTCGGAACGAAGCGGAAGCGGAATGGGCAAACGACCCGAGCGGCCCTTTTGCATAACAAATTAAAGAAATCCACTGTGGAGGACGAGTGCTAATTCGCGAGCAAACGTCGAGTCGTCAATTCGCACAAACACTTTCCCACTGAATATTCGCAATTGAGAATGCAAAAACCTTTGCTCGAGAGGGCCATCCCTGTTCCTTCCTGTTCCTCCCTGTTCCTCCCTGTTCCTCCCTGTTCCTCCCTGTTCCTGCACAACGGCCGTCCTACTACGGCCTACCTACGGCAAAGGAAAGCAAACGAAATGCAACAGCCGAGGCTAATAACATATTCAGTGGGAAAATGCGTTAGCTCCGTGCAATGATTAAATTTGGCACTGCGCCTGGCGAGACGCAGCGAAAGACAAGAAGGAGCGAGAGGCGACTGGGAGGCTGAGAAGGTGGAAGGTGGAAGGATCGGCGCTCGACCTCCTGGCTCCTCGCCTATTGTTGCCAAAAGAATCTCCAGAGAACCGAAGACTCTTCCGCCTGTTTTGCTTTGTCGCACTTTGCTGTGCGGCATGAGAAGAAGAGGGAAGAGGGAAGGCAGGAACTCGCACGCGCGGAAGCGTCGCTATTCAGTTGCCGACTGTGGCCGAAATTGAAGTCCCGTTAATTTCGCAGACTCCGACCGCGCGCCTATTGGTCCATCGCTCCGTCTCTCTCGGCATTCTGGCTCTTTGTCACGTGCGTGCCCATCAACAGAATGCACTGCTGCGCCCCGTTGCAATTTGGCAATTTGGCAATCTGGCAATCTGGCAATCTGGCACGCTGCTCCTTTGCGAATTCGTTTTCCCAACGTTCACTCGCTGCCGTTACTTCTATTTTCTCGCATTTCAACACTGGCCGCGTGTCCGGTGTTTATTCCAATGGAAGAGTCACTCGATTCACCCAATCGAAGGGCTGCGCGATGCCTCCCGTTTCCTTTTTCTCTTCTTTCGCTTCGGCCTCTATGCGCGTCAATGCGCCTGGAGGCTGCCGAACCGCAGACGTTCGTTAATCATTTTGATAATTGAAATTAAAAGCGCTAGACTTACGTTAACTAGACGCCAGAATGAGGAAGAAGGACAAGAAGCAGCACTCGACGCTCGGCAGCTTTTTATTGGATTTGCGAAGAGCGAGTCGAACGATCTACGCGGTGTAGGAGACGAGTGTCTACTATCTAGTACAGGGAGCCACGTGTTCCTAATGATGGGTGAACCCGACCTTGGACGACGTGATCCTTGTCAGTACTCTTTCCAGTCGCACAAATTTCACAAATTTCGCCATGAATTTTTAGCTAAAGAAAACACCAAATTCGCACGGCTGAGAGTCGTGCAGTTTCCCACTGCAGAGGGGGTGGAGGAAGCGGAGGGAGACCTAACGCGCAACACATGGAACGCAAGGCCAAAGTCGGCTTTCGCATGGAGATGAGAATTCTAGAGCGGATGGGAGTTGCAAGAGGCTCTGTGGAAGCTTCGAGGAAGAGGCTCGCTGCTGCAAAGCCTCGCCAGACTGTATAGCCTGGACCAAGAGCCATGCGATACGGAGTCAAGCTACTTCCGCAGACTTTGGAACTTTTAAGAAGCGCTTAGGAGGATGCGAAGTCGATACAAATCTTTGCACTGAATGTTTTTCGCAATAAACATCCATCCGGGTGAAACCCGTGCACTCTATAAAAGTCCAACACATTGACCGTCTACACGTATAGACTCTCTGATCTCTGCAGCTTCTTTTGAGCGATCGCGTCGCGGCGTCGTCGCGGCGCTGCCAGCCTGCAAAGCTCGAGGATGGAGTTTCAGGAACAACAGCAACGAAAGTACCGAGCCACCGGAAAGTCCAGCAACAAGACGGTGTCGCTCCGAAAGAACGGGACCAGGAGAGCGTGCAGATCGTCAAGGGACTTGCATCCGCGTTGGCTCGTCTGTCGCAAAAAGTCCTCGATTCTTGTCAAAGACGTCGAGCAGTAGTCTATACAAAAGTAGCTTTAAAACGTCTGAAAGTTGAAGCTATAACGTTTCTCGAAAGACGAGTAAGCCAGATATTCGACATGGCTGCATGTAGCGACGGCTGCCAGGTCGCCAGGTCGCCGAGAGACTGGACGGAAGCAGGCCACAACAAAGGCCTCCGCCCACGTGCTTGCCTGACGCGTCGCTTGATTATTCGTGACGTCCGTTATTGCATTTCAGAAGGAAAAAGACGAGGGAGAACGTGAAAGGGAAGGAGGCAAGGAACGGCGCATTTCCATGTAAATTTAACCGAGAACGAAATGCGCGACGTTACGCCGTGTATACATGTAGCTGTGTGCTGCTTCCTCATGATGCTTCCTGCTAGGACGAAACTCGCCGGGAAATCCCTGACCGCCCTCTGCCTCCTCATCTCGCCCTTACTTCTCGTTGCTTCAACTATTTTTACGCGCGTCCCCTGCGGTGAGCAATGCGGAGGACACGACGTGGCCGGATCCAAAAATAGAAGAAGAGGGAAAGAGGAGGAAAAGAAAAGAAGATGGGAAGTAGGAAACATCTAGCAGTTAAACCGAAGCCAAACTAAATGGAACGTAAAATGCTTACTGAGGCTGAATCCGGAGTCTTTGACGTGAATCACCACCATAGGCATCAGGACCATTACGATCAGGTTGACCACGTGAAACACCATCCCTGGTCCATGAGCGATGATTTCCTGTAGAGCAGATTAAGCCAAATAATATTTAACATTTGATTCAATCGAATGATGAAATTGCAAATTTACAAATAATAACACGATGCATCTTGGAATTGTTGTGGCGATTGAAAAATTTTTAAGTTTGAACTTTGCCGCGCTCCCTGTCCACCGCACCACGTGTGGATGAATCCCCGTCGCCGGGTGCAAATCGACAGGCGACGGGAGGCGACAGAAGGGCGAGATGAGGCGATTCTTTGGACCGTCCGACGGAGCCAAGAAAAGTGCGCGAGTGCAGCTTCAGGATGCATCTTTTAATAGTCAAATAGACTTTATCTCGCTCTGCAATTCTTCATATCTGTTGCAGCTACCTGCAGCTGCCTGAAGCCGCCGCGATGCACTCGGCTCGGCTCTCGCGCAGAATGGACCGTTGTGCAGAATCCATCGGAATCAGATTAAGCCAGAGGGGCGCGTATCGGTTATCGGTTTCTCGTTGGCTGCCTTCTCCCTGCCTCCCTGCCTCCCTGCCTCCCTCCTTCTCTCCACCCTTTACCCGGAGCTCTCGCGCTTTTTTTCGGCCGATGCTTTAATAAAGTAGCCGACTCTTTTGGAAAGTCTAACGAACGTGAATTTCAAAGGCGAAAAAGCCGAGCGCGATTCATCAACGTAAATGTGAGCGAGCGATAAAATCGAAGAGAGGAATCGACTCGCGATGAGAGAGGACTGGACTTTCGAATGGAGGAGCGAAGAGGCGACTGGAAAGACCTGAAGAAGCCGGTGAAGGGACAGAAAGTGGACGCACGTGCGTCTGGAATTCAAAAATGTGCAAATAATCAAAGTGCAATTCCAACCGACTGGCAGGTCGAGCTTCGAGTCTTGTAACGGGAGAAACGCGCAGGTTGCGAACCTGCAGGGGAAACGCGTGGGAGGCGGCAAGAGAGAAGAAGCGAAAGGATGGAGGGTGCGATGGATGGCTCGCTGAGCGTTTAGTTTTACGCTGGGACGTAAAATATTATAACCACCCCGTAAATTTGCATGCTGCGAGAAGGATGCTTGCCAGAATGGTGGATGGGGTGGATGGGGTGGATGGGGTGGATGGGGTGGATGGGGTGGATGGGGTGGATGGGGTGGATGGGGTGGATGGGGTGGATGGGGTGGATGGGGTGGATGGGGTGGATGGGGTGGATGGGGTGGATGGGGTGGATGGGGTGGATGGGGTGGATGGGGTGGATGGGGTGGATGGGGTGGATGGGGTGGATGGGGTGGATGGGGTGGATGGGGTGGATGGGGTGGATGGGGTGGATGGGGTGGATGGGGTGGATGGGGTGGATGGGGTGGATGGGGTGGATGGGGTGGATGGGGTGGATGGGGTGGATGGGGTGGATGGGGTGGATGGGGTGGATGGGGTGGATGGGGTGGATGGGGTGGATGGGGTGGATGGTGGGAGGGAAGTGGCTAGCCCAAGAAAGGTGGGAGGTTCGTGTTGCGCGTATTTCCACTGCGACTGACAGAATTACGCTCTGCCGTGGCCGCCATTGCGTCGATTGCGTCGATTGCGTCGTTTATTCGCCTCTGGTTCGAGAAAACAAGGCCGCAACAATGTCGGGTTTTGTTTTAAGGCTCCGACAGGATCAGCTGGACCGACCGGAGGATGCTCCAACTTTCATGGAGAATGAACGTCAACTCATTTACGATTCTGTGACAACTGCCATATACAACTGCCTGGCGACTGTTTCACAGCCACGCATCCACGTGCGCACGCGCGCACGCACGTCACACACTCATTATCAGTATTGCTGAAAGAGAATGAAAAGCAGAGAGGAAATGAAGTGACCCAGAGATGAGCAATGGGGTACCTGGCACCCCTCTGGCAACTTATACTCCCTGAATCGATAGGAATTAGACTATAGGGAAGTTTCTCTACTCACCACCGCCAATCCCTTCTCGATGAGGAGACAAAGGACCACAGGCACCGTGGAATCTGCAAAACAAATTCGAAGGAGCACGTTAATCTCCCGTTCAAAGGGACCCTGGATTCTTCAGCCCCAAGGTCGCCCCCCCCCCC